AGGTAGTGTCCAGTTGTGCCAGAGTGTCATGCACTGACATGCTGTTAGAGAGGCTGACTGGTCAACCACAAGCCACTCGCCACCTTCCGCTCATTTCATATAGACTTCTGCCCGGGTAGATGCCATTTAATGTGTAGTTAGATGTCAGAAGTGTAGTGAAAAGAGATAAGCTGGTGCAGTGAAAAATGCTTATACTTGACAATGAAAAGTTGCTTTTGGCTTTCAGCTCGTATAAGAGCGTGTGGTGGTGGTGAAGATTTCTTTTAATTTTTAAATTTTTTAGTAATTATTTTCATTATTATTTACAATTATTTGTTTGATTACTTGACAATTTTCAAATATAAAATGAAAGCTTATATGATTTTTCTAAGAGAAAAGAGAAATATGAAGTATATCCTTAGGCGCTATGGGCAGAAAAATATACAAAAAGTAGTTAAACTAATAAATATTTGGAGAATTTTTAAATTAAACTCGATTAAAAAAAATTCAATTGAAAAAAATTAAAAAATTGTTTAAAAATGTTAACAACAGACTTTTACTCATATAAAAAAGCGATAATATAATATATTAAAAAAATATAATTTTAATGTTAAGCTTTTGAACATGGGCTTCCTAGGATAAAAATAGCCAACACTATTAAAAATTTCACTAAAATTCAAAAAATTTATACTTGCTTTAAGCTTTAAGCTCTTTAAAATGCGTGAAAGCTTAAGCAGAAATAATTCGGAAATTTAAGAAAGTCATTAGAATATTCATAGGTACTCCTATTTAACTACTAATTAAGGCACGAGGGCAGAGAAATACAAATTATATATCCTACCTACCGATTATCATAGCATGTGGGCTTTAAGCTTTACAATAAGCCAACTAATGGCATATGTGCATCCGCTCGCGCTTACGTTCTCTACATTTCCCAGATTTCAATGTAATATACTTTACCCTCCTTTAACCGATTCATCATCAAGGCCGCATTATTTGGTGTGTTTGATGCATTTGTCACCCTTCAGGGTCTAGTATATTACAATTTTCTATGTCTCAAACGTGAAAGCTCTAGACAATCACTGAGAAGATGGAGTGAAATATTTATTTCTGTTTGCCAAAGTGGAGTGCTCTTCTGATTGTACCTAGACGACATTGAACTTGCGTTGTTGCGGATTCATAGAGATGTGGTTAGCCGTTTCATTGTAGAGACATTTAATTTCGTTGTAGAGACATTTAAAGAAGATGTAAATTTATTTGGTCAAAAATTACTATTTTAAAGGTACCGAGAGCACTGGGTTTTATAAATGGTCTACTAGCAGTTCTACGCGATATGGAGGAGTTTTCCTGCTTAAAAGTCGCATAAACCATACTTGGATCCCATTACTCAACATATTTTCATCTGATTCCTTTATCAAATCCTCGCCGTTAATCAGTTTCATGAAAGGAGTTCTTAGAACGGTGCAGTCAGGTAGATGGGAACGACTGAGTAATTACGAGACTTTAGAGCCAGGTAAGAAATGTGAATATACAGAAAGGATCAGTTGTGTTCCCCACACTGATTGGCAAAAATTAAACTCCCGCATCAGTCTCTGCCAGCCAAAAAAGAAATTTCTGATGTAGGGAGAAGATTATCCAGATATAAAGCAGGCAGCGAATTGGACTGCAGCCCAAAATAACTTTGCAACAATTTTCGATACTTAAAGGAAACTGCTGAAACTACTGATAACCCCAAAATCTGTGGATAGATCTTTACTCCCAGTGCTCGAATACAATAAATTTTGATGTATCAGAACTCTGACGAATTACATCGCCTACAGATAGCCGAGGAAGGCTGCTTAACCGTGAGGTACTTCTTGACGCTTTTTCCATATCTAACTAGCTCATCTGTTAGAAAATATTGTATGGCAGAACAAGTAAAGAGCCTCACAGTTCTCTTATTCTCGTACTGAACTATTTCAGATATCAGAAAATGAAATCAAAATTCAAAACTACGTCGAGAGGGGACCGAGTTGATGTTAGATCTTAACCAGCTTTTACATTCAAACCACACAAGATAAGACTTCGTAGCGGGCGTTTGAAGTTTTGTACAATTGTGCTAAAGCTATCTTCTGGTATCATTGATTTCGTTAAACCTCTTTTGGAAAAATCCAAGAAAATCTTGAAAATCATTGCTTTAAAGCAGTTTTAGGATGAGTTTCTTAGCCGGCCTAAGCGATCGACAGACAAAGACTTTTCTTCAATATAAGTCGAGCATTCAATTTAAGCGCGTTCACAAATTCGCTGCAGTAGAGGTCACTAGGACCTAGTCACTTTTGTCGTTACTCCGTTCAACGTAACGATTGGAAGAAGAAGAAACTGGTAATTTTTTCAGGAACATTAAATACTAGGACAAACCACATGTGGTGGAGTTGCTCAATTGAACCACTTCCACTCAACTTTAGCCGAGATCCAATGCTCTTTCACACAGGTTTGTTAACACATCTAGCGCAAGGCTGGCTAAAGTTATCCTGGATGTGGGTGCAATAGTAGGAGCCGCTCAGCATAGTCTTGCAATAGACAGAACTGTGCCATATACTCATAATAGTAGCTTAAATATGCTTATGTGTGTTCTTTTTTTAAGTGAACTCCCCTCGGAGCTCCATCATTTATTGGCCTCTGCATCAATTTCAGTTTCCACATTTGTTATGCTACTAATTCGAGCATAATAAATTTTTTTTAATACCGCAATCAGTCAATATTCACCACCCCCCGCCCACACACTTGTGAGTTGCAGAGTCCAACGCACCCTACCCTGTACGAGCTCAAAAAATAATTGACTTGATTATAGGAACATTTTATATTTTCCACACGCAAATGCCTGCGGACCGAAATAAACACCAAAAGCAGGCTGGGAGGAAGCTAAATAAAGCCACTCCGATGGAAAAACACAGGAGAAAAGGGTTTATGGGTGCCCTTCCGCAGATTAGTTAGCGAAATATGTTAGTAATCGCCTTGGAGGCAAATTTCCACTAACAACTATTTTTCTTTAAACCGTTATAAGCAATTTCGGGCACCACACACTCGCAACTGCTTACTCACTTGAGCAATTTGCTTCACATACGCGGAAGCTTGCCGGATGATGAGGTGCTGCGCTTATGTAACCGAATTTTCTTGTTCTCAGGCTATGCAGCGATTTGATGCGGTTCGTTAGCAGGGCTCAAGTCAACTATACAACTACACTTAGAAAAATAACAATAGAAACAACAACAAGAAAGCGCGCGTGTCTTAACATATGGCGGCAACTTAACACCAATTCTTAGAAATGTGCATAAGACGTTGAAAGAAAAGGGTTCACGTTGTTTGACTATGTGGCAGAGTATTTGTGATAATGTCGCGAGTATACGCTTGAGTATGTCTGTATGTATCTTTATTATTTGCCTCTATATGCTCATGTTCATACCATCGATAGCGGAAAGTCGCACTACAAGCTCTTCGGGACCACAATCAAGCATTTGTTGCCCTCACCTTCGCACTATTCTCCTTCTTCATACTTTCTTTTAGCCTTCGCTTGCCTTTTTAATGTTGTTTTGTTCCCAGCGTTTTATGTGCATTGCACGCCCGCCCAAGCAATCAGCCATAGAAAAATGCTCGCCATTAACGCTCGGCCCCCTTTCTGCGCACTTGCTTTAACCCGCTTAGCTTTGTCCCTGCCGTATGCGAGCGCCTAAAAGTAGATAAATTTTACTTTGTTGGAGCTTTCGCACTTCCTTGGTTTTTGTAATATCTATCACAATTTGGAGTTTTTGTTGTAAATATCACATTCCTTGACACTCGGCCGGAAAGGATGCCGCATTTTGGCTAATGTCAAAGTGCGCTATTCTACAGCATTCAATTGAAGAGTCGTAACTCGTACTTGGAATCCTTTCACATTTGATGCCTTCAAATGTCCTCTCAGTTTTCTAGATTTTGCGCAGGTGAGATTTTAAAGTAAACATCTTCTGCCTGCTCTCAGAAGGTCGCTTGATAAGCGTCCTTTGCTACCGAATTCCTTTTCTTGCATTATTTGGCCGAGCTTCTGTTCCGATTTGTTTTTGTGCATCTTAAAACATCCACAAACGAATGAACTCTAGCAGAAGCTAGTACTTTCTCCTCAGAAATAATAATGATATTCTTAGGGGCTATGAGATTCTATACTGAGGGGTAACCGCATTTAGCAAAGACTTTTCTCAAATTATTTTTTTTTTTATTTAGCCTGGCCACACTCCTTTTTTTGTTTTGCTCAGGTTCTCTTCTTTTTTAGCATTATTAGAGACACCAAGGAAAGTCAGATACTATTGCGCCTAATCTTTCCAATGAAGTGTAGGTCTTCCTCTTTTTCTACTTTAGCCAACGGACACTGTATAGAATATTTTCAGAGCAGCAATATTTCCACCGATCTCGACGATATAGCCCAGCTAACATAGCCGCTGTCTTCTTATTCACTGAACTAACCTACATATATGCATCTATGCCGTTGTATAACTCATCGTTTGCAGTATTTGCCAACGCATTTAAAGGTAAAGATCCACAAATTGTTAGCAACACATTTCTCTCGAAACTCCTTGTATTGATCTATCGGGTTTTGTCATCTGTCAAGCCTCGAGAGACTAAACCAATCGGTATAATGACCGACTTGAAGCTTTTTCGTAGAAAACGGATCGAGGGAAGATTGGTCTTGATATCTTTGACCATGAATCGGAAAATCAGTGTTAACCCTGCTTCATCCTGCACTTTGTGGATTCTCTTTTCCAGCAGCGTATTTTATAAACCATTCATCGCTTAGGGACAACCGAGTGGCATGGGTTTAAAAAAATTTTAGATGCTTTTTTCTAATTGTTGTTGCTTCTTGGTAGAGTATGTAAACCTTCTTTTGATTTTTCTCAGTTAGCGTTTTTCTTAGTAAAGTTTGGCTCCCTTACTCTGTCACCAGACACTATTAACAGTATCAATATATTATAATAACCTCGTTGTCGTATTTTCCATATCTCTCTTTGTTCAAGTCTGCTGTCGGTGAAACTCATAGTTCCATAATAGCTTCGCAAAGACTTGCTCTCGAAAGCACCTAAAGCCGAAAAGATGAAATTTGAAGGTTGTCAACAAGAGCTTTGATTTTGTTCGCCGAGAGAGCACTTTACTTTTTCAATAACATTTTTTTCCAAAAGTTGTAACGGTTCGTAGGATGAATTCTGCATTGGTTTTCAAGTCTCACGCTATTACAATATTGCAGCTCCAAGATTGAAAGAAATTGAATTGCACGTTTTATTTTATCTTATCCTCACACACTACCAAACTCAGCGTGGAGAAAGCGGAAACAATGGTTGTGTGCTGATTGAAGACGAACGCACTAGATAGAGAGTCTGAAACCTCCTTTGGCTAGGATGGATGCTTCCCGATTCTGATGGAGATTTTAATATTGTTGCGAAAATGCGAGGCGAATATCAGATGAAAGAGAGAAGCCGATAACTAGTACGATAAAACAAGAACCTTCCATAGCGAACAATTCGATGCTTCTACGCTTTCGTCTGCGAGCAGCCGGCTGCTATATAAAGGCGACACTCAGCTGCAAGTCAAGCAGTGACAAAGCAAATTGGTTGGCGTTAACATCAGTGAAGACGTAAAGTGAACGCGTTGGGAATTACATTTAAGTAGAGGAAATTGTGAAAGTTGATGTTAGTGATTATAAATAGTAAAGTGCAGTATAATTGAATTGTGAATTACTGAGAAAATAAAGGGCATTAGATAGAATCTTTATAACGAATTAAGTTTGCGATTTTTATTTAACAATCCAGAGATCGTACCCGAAGGATCTAGAAAATAATCGAGGTTGATTCAGTAAAATCGTAACAATATATAAGAATTCGGCTTGTATAGTACGCTTTTTCACTTAGAATAATAATTACATTAAAAGTGATTGAATCTGATTACTGGAATTATTGAAAGAGCGCTCTTTCGAAGATGGAAAATTGGCATATCATCGGTTTGTATGCATTGTAAGATTTGCATAAAATCAGCTCTGTTTAAATCAAAAGCCATCAAGGTTTGACAGTCGCTGTGTAATTATCAGAAGTAACAAGATGTAATTAAACAGTTTGAACGCCACTAGAGAGTGATCGGCGTAACAACGTCAAATTTCAACGAATTGACAACTAAAGGCGCTCCCAAAGCTATATGGACAAATAAAAAGTAAAATAAAGTAAAAATTAAGCACTTTTGTTTTCAATCTACGAAATCGATGCATTTTAAATGATTTTTACAACCAATATGCATACATACATAAGTGATCTTAAAATATCAAGTAACTCTTTGGTTATCGCTTACAAAAAGACCTCCTCTCAATCAGTGAAGTTTCGTTTTGGCTACTGAATTGAATAAATATCGGAAATTATTTTAAAATAAAAAAAAATTAGTTAGAAACTTAAAAGCTTAAAAGAATAGACATTAAAAGCACATGAAAATACTTTCTTTTCTTTACTCCTGCTACGACATCGTCAGAGAAGAGGCTCAACAGTGGGCGGTGAAGCGTCGTGTAGGCGCAGAAGGCAGCGTACATTTTGTTTTGAAAATTACAAATTTCTTGTTTGCTTTTATTTGCTAACTATATGTGTATGTCGCGTGGAAAAACTGCTAATATAACTAATCGTACATACAGATGGACATGTTTACTACACACACATGCGAGTTATCCCACATCACATTCCCATGCATACTTATATGTATACTTATGTATGTATGTAAATCGTATGCGGAAGGGTTGCTTTTTATGCCTATCGTCCTGTCAGCGTTATCCCCAATGATTGTTGATTTGTTGTTGTTTTTCATGTTGTCTTACCCAGCCTACGTAGCTGCCCACTTTGCGTAGTGTATTTTCTTATCTAACAAACATACGTACATACATACATACTTATTTAACTGTTTTACATTTCTTGTTGTTGTGTGTGTGTAGTAACTACTATTCTAGGCCAATGCAAAAGTTTATTTTCGTCCCTCTTCTGTCATTCATTATACGCTCACGTGTATGTGTGTGTGTGTGTGTTTCTGTATATTTGCCCATGCGCACAGTTTGACATTGTTCGAAAACTATAAATTTTACAATAGATCGGGTTACCATAGCTACATATAATCATATACACACATATGTATGTACTTAATAAAGCACGTGTATGAGATAAGTATCTCGATTCGCACTCCATGGCCGACGCTAGGAGGTGGCTTTGAGGCCATGAAAACCACCAGGCAGAGCAGAAAGACTTGCCGAACTTTGAAGCTGTAGGTTGTTATTTCTTGAAGAGATCTTTGTTCGGAAAACTACTAGCGAAACAGATAACCACACTCAAACAGTCTCAGGACGTTTGGAAATATTTCGTCATGGAGTTTGAATTTTCCGAATGTAGTGCCGAAGATAAATCGACATAGCGGATCGTGACGTACGCGGATACGAATTCTCTGTACCGCCACAAATTCAACATCAAGTTTGCGTTACCGCCGCTGGATTCAATTTCGAAAGGTCTCATTCCTTCGACCCTGCCCTGTCCATCAGCATTTCTTTTACGACGGCTAGACGGCGAAGGCTAGATTTTTAGAGGAACAGCGGCACCTTCCCAAATTGGTGACCGGACATTACGGCTGCATGTCCTCAAATCGTGATCCTTAAAACTTTTGTAGGGTCGTGGCCGAAAGTGTTATCTCTCATACCAGTTATTTTGTTGTTTTTCATTGGATCTGGTTTCTACGTGGAGAGGCTCAAGCAAGCTTTTTACTTCAAGATCGCCTCAAAAAGACTCTACGGAAACATTAAACTGAAGGTCTTACTCTGGAGGATATGTACAGCCGGATTACCGCATCTCGTACAAGGGTTGCTCGCAAAAACAATAGCTATATAACGTCTTTAGTAGTTCTGAGCTCGGAGCTTCTACCTCCGCTTCGAAATTCAAACCGTAATGTCGAAAAATGGTGATAATTGAACCCACTGAGAAAAGAAACGGAGAGGCACACAAAGAAATGTCGGACACATAAAACCCCTCTGTAAAGAAATTCAACAACTGCCTTTGTTCGACTTTAAAGTTTGCTGGGTTTGTGCCAATAAAAATACACCAAAACGGTCAATATGTGTGTGCATATATATCTTTACATGTATGTATTTACTTATGGACCTGTGCGTAAAAAGTTTAATTTGCCATGTTCTAGCAGTGGGTGGTCTTCTCATTTAGTCGCCAGCACATCACATTGTTGGAAGCTTAACAGCGACTTTTTTGTTTCGTTTTTTCCTTTTTTTTTGGTTCGGCTACCGCCACTGACTGAATGCACACAACGTCGTGTGTCGACGATTAATTATAATTTTAAATGGCATTAATTTCATATTAAAGTTATGACCACAAAACTGAAGGGGTTGCTACTGAGCATGAAGGAGATGGTGATAGGTAAGGCGGAAATGATTTGCGAAATGGAGGAAGAATGCTGGTCTATGTTAGGCAGAAGTAGTAAACGGATAGAGAGACTTTCTCTGTTTTCTTGAGTTTGGCGAGTCTTTTTACGGGAACAGCTTGGATTTATTGTTTATAAGAAGCTTTCAGTGGAATTTTCCGCACATAGATTTTTTTCTCTGATTGGCTTTTGTGTGTACCAGAGAGCTTTCCTTTACTCAAGGTGATTCTTACCGCAATTTTTTGTTTACATATATATATTATTTTTTAAGCGGTGCCCCTTGATCATTACTCTTTTAAAGTTCATGTAATTCCCGAATTATTTCTCCAAAGCATGGGCACGTTCTTATTATGCCAATAACCTCAAAATATATTTCGCACTTTCCCACTTTTTGAAAATATAAATATTCCCTAACGAATTTTCTCACCGGTTATTTAGTTTCTTTGTGAATGGCTTGCACGCAAGCAGAGATCGTAAAGTAGTTATACGTTCTCTGCAGCAGGCAACAGCTGACTGATGTGTCAACCCATTGTGATTTATTTTCATGTGCAATCCATGAAGAAGCATCAAAACAAATTAATTGCGCATATTGCGCACGTGTTGTTAAATTGAGAAATTTTGTTTAAATACCTTTTTTTATTAACATTAAACTAAATCAAACCGCAAAATGAGCAAGAAAAGTAAAACAAAGTCGACTGATCTTGGTCGGGCGTTAATTAAAAATCGCTTTGGTCACCAATTTCGACGCAAAGTGCATAACGACACAATGGTAAACAAATAAACATACAAAATATTTTGTTAAATATTTGAAGTGTTTCACAACAACTGATTATACACAAATTTATTTCCCCTACAGCTACACACCACCGAAATACAGGATGGCTACGATTGGGGTCGTCTCAATTTGGCCTCTGTCACCGAGGAGTCCTCATTCCATGATTTCCTACGCACAGCCGAACTAGCAGGCACTGAATTCCAAGCAGAAAAATTAAATATTACCTTTATCAATCCGAAATCAGGCGTTGGTTTACTATCGAAAGTACAACAACAGGAAATGGAAAGTAAACATAAGGAACATCGTGATATGTTAACAATACCAAGACGCCCTAAGTGGACAACGGAAACTACTGCGGAGGAGTTGCAGCGCGCGGAAAACGAAAGTTTTTTGGAATGGCGTCGTTCGTTGGCTAAGCTACAAGAAGAGCAAGAAATTATATTGACACCATACGAGAAGAATTTGGAGTTTTGGCGTCAATTATGGCGCGTTGTTGAACGTTCCGATGTTATTGTACAAATTGTGGATGCACGCAATCCGCTGCTATTCCGCAATGTTGATTTAGAGCGTTATGTAAAGGAAGTTAACGCGGATAAAATGAATATGATTTTGGTGAATAAATCGGATATGTTGACAGAGCAACAACGTAAACATTGGGCAGAGTACTTTGAGGCAGAAGGCATAAAAACAGCATTCTTCTCAGCAACAATGGCCACTGAAGATTTAAAGAAAGTGCAAGAAGAAATGAATGAAGAGGAAGGTGAAGAAGATGAGGATGGCGAAGAAGAAGTGGAAAGTGAAAACGGAAGCGAAGCAGAGACTGAAACTAAGGAGAAAGCTAGTGAAGCAAAAACTAACACACTTTCTGAAGATGTTAAACAAGAAATAGAAAAGTTTAAAGCATCGACTGAAGAAGTGCATAAATCATTAGATCAATTGGAAGATCAATTCAAGTCAATAATGCAAAAAGCAGCTGATGAAGTTGAACTACATAAAATGCTTAAAAAGAACAATCCAAAGGTACTAACTCGTGAGGAACTCATAACGCTGTTTAAAACCTTATACAGAGGAAAGACATTTACGCCGGGTGTAACAACCATTGGTCTGGTTGGATATCCAAATGTGGGTAAAAGTAGTACGATCAATGCATTAATGATAGAGAAGAAAGTATCGGTATCAGCCACACCGGGCAAAACAAAACATTTCCAAACCCTCTTTCTGGATACAGATTTATTGTTATGCGATTGTCCTGGTTTAGTGATGCCAAGTTTTGTACTAACCAAAGCTGATATGATACTCAACGGTATACTGCCAATAGACCAGGTATGCATGTGTGTGTTTGTGCTTGTGGTTCGTAAACAGAAACAATCTAATATTATTTTTTTCCATCTCACTACAGATGCGGGACTATGTGCCACCAGTGAATTTACTTTGTTCACGCATACCACGACATGTACTCGAGGATAAATACGGTATAATCATTGCCAAACCAATTGAGGGTGAAGATGAGCATAGATCGCCTCATGCCGAGGAGTTGCTGCTCGCTTATGGCTGTATGTGAAAAAAACAAGAATTATATAAAAAAATTTATTGTATAAAAAAATCTCACTTTTTTTTCAGACAATCGCGGCTTCATGACATCCAACGGCCAGCCAGATCAATCGCGTTCTGCACGTTATGTATGCAAGGACTATGTAAATGGCAAGCTGCTCTACTGTCTCGCACCACCCAACGTGCCACAAGAGGAATATCATGTTTTTCCTGCGAAAACAGGTAGAATAATCACTGAACAACAACTGCCAAGTCAACAACAACGCGCAATGCGGGTAATTTGTAATGCAAATTAATTTCAAAATAAATATAAAAAAAAACTCCATACTCTTTCTCACCACAGATCAACACGAAAACTTCTTCAAATGACATCGATAAGCAATTTTTCGCCGCAAATAACAATCAAGCTTATGTAAAAGGTCGTAGCAATTTTCCACATATACGAGTCGCCAACGATGGTAGCTTGGTGAGTGCGCCACCCACTGAAAAGCCCTGGCGTAGTGTGAAGAAAGAGCGACGTGAGAAATTGCGTAAAAAATTCTCACATTTAGATCAGCATTAACTGAAAGTGAAATTTGTTTTATTTAAAACATATTTACATACATATATGTATGCTCCTCCTAACGTTCTAAATGAATTACTTTTAGCTATGTAAAGTGATTTTCTTATTCATATGTATGCCAACTGTGTAATTATCTATTTATGAATTTGTATAATTATAGTTGAATAATATTTGCAATTAAATGTTGTTATTATTTGCATATTGTTGTATGACCGCTTAATCAGCACTTTTGCATATGTCAAATATGCGTTTAAATGCTAGTTAATGAGTTGCCGTTGACCTTGTTAGCATATTATTTTAATTACTTTTTTTTGCAAAAAAAAATCAACTTTAAATATGTACTCTTATAAGAGAGTAATCAGGGGACGAGAAAGCGAAAGGGTGTAGCATTTTTGTCACTAGAAGCCTCAAAGTGTTATTAAGGGGAATGTTCTCTCCACATATATATATATTTACATATATTTGCAAGTGAAAATGCTTTAAAGCTCTTTATTATTACAATTTTTTTTTGACAATTCATATACAATAATATAAAGGTTAATAGCAGCACTTTGTGAAACTGTAGATTATATGTATATAGTAAGCATATGTATCGCTCTACCATTTAATTTTTTTTAATTTTTCGCTTAAAAATGTGATGTCAGCAAGATAATTTGACTTTAAATTAGAACAATGAAAAAATATAATTTAAACTAAATTTCACTTCAAGAAAAAAAGTTCCCTAACCTCAAAAAAATTCATTCCAGCGGAATTATTCCATTTCGATCTCTTCATTAGGCCAAGCCGACTTTATCGAATCGATTTTGTACTCATAGTACTCCGTTACTTGTTATTGTTGTAGTGGTGATGATCCATACTCCAATAGTCATTACCCACTTCCAAGAAAATGGTTCAGAGCTCTAGTGTTGAACCAGTTTTTATCCTACCAAGGACTGACACTTCTTTAGCTGTTGTTGTTGTTGTATCCGCTTTTCTAACCCCACTTAGAGACAGGCTGGTTAATCAAACCGGTTATACGCACCGGAATTGACCCAGATTTTAGCGATCTAATCCCGTTTAAGTCAACAGGTAACACTTCTTTTGTGTCCTAGCGTGGGTTTAGTCAATGAATAAAGCGAACTTTAGTTTAACCCTGGTCTAAGCAGATATTTTTTCTTCGTTCGCCATAGAAGCCTCCAACATAAATATCTGAAGCTCGGTTAGAAGCAGAAAGTGTATTACTTGGAATCTTCTTAAAATTAAGCCCATCCATAAAACCCATAAGGAGTGTACTATGCGTTACGTAACCCAGTGTAGCTAGTATTCACGTTCCATACCCAACCCACTACCCGCTATCAGTAACCAACAACGGAGCTTTCCGTATCAGGACACCATCCAAAACCCACTTCCACGCTTTTGTTTTCTTGTGGGGTAGAACGATCCTACCGCTGAATTCAAGGAAAGTTACTAATGAAGAAGATTCATATCATCCGGTTTCGCCTTTCACTCAGCATTTGAGACCAGCATCATGACTTTCATTGTAGTTGTTGTTGTAAGCACAAAAATATTCCCCAAAGTACTTTTTTGGGAATGTTGCGGGAGTGACAGTCCTTAGCCGGATAAAAATCTGGGTCGTTCCGGTATAGAGACCCGACTGACGCGGGAACTATTGGATTTACATCGCCTCTTACGTCAGGCCTTACCGCGGGTAAATTCTGATGAATTCGTAACCCGCATGGCTTTCGTATTGAATTCCCTTGAACTCAACAAAAATCGGTCGTGCTGTTTTGATAAAATTGAGTCCGAAAGCATTTGGGCTTAAGAGCTGACCCTTGAATTATCTGTGTGGTCAACAACTATCATAAGAGTTCCGAAGTAAAACTACCAAACTCAGGAGCCCAGTAAGCTCTCCGCTGCAGCTCAAAGTTTTTTTCAATGACTCCTATTACGACAGACCTGCCTTACCGAAGTAAAATTCTTTTTTGTCCGATGGAGAAAGTGGTTACATCCAGCTTTTCCCACTTCATCAAAGCCAGAAACTTAATCCACAAAGACTATTTTTACCAGCAGAATCATATTACTTCCAAACCGCAAAGTCGAGCATATGCAATTCCTTATTGAGTTTCCGGTATGGAGGTGAAAAATATCGAAAATTTTCTATATCCCGAAATATTTAATTACTCAGATAAAATTTCGGGATTCGAAAAATGTGTAGAAAATACGATACAAGCTCGAGAGCATTTGTAATGCAGACTCTTGGGAAGAAAAAAGTAACTCTTTCAAAATCCCGAAGTTCCCATTCAAATTCAAAGAATTTTTCGGGATTTACAAAATTTTCACAACACTAGTATAAACAATTAGGAGTCAGGAAAGGAAAAAAAACATTCATATTTATCAGTACATACGCTAAACAAAAACAAATCCAATCCACACACACATATATTTACAAATATATACACAGAAAAATATATATAATTTATTTTAAAATAACTGTTAAGTTTATTGAAAGCTCAAAGACCGGTTTGTAGAGCAAACTACAAATATATGTATATTAAAATCTTAGGAAAAAATGTAAACAAAAGTGATATATACATACATACATATTTTCATATCAATATTAATAGATGCAATGGCATACATATGTACATAGTATGTGCAAAAGAGTCTAAATAGCACATAATACTTTTTATTCAAAATGTAAAATGCAAAATAAATAAATTCAACGAGCTGATAAGTGGGATGAACCATGGAATGACAATAATAATTGCTTGCTGTACTCGTATGTATGTATGTGTGTCATATTGGCGCTATTTGACGTTGCTTCCATTGCCTCTCACCGAGTATTGTCCATTTGCACATACTCGTACATACATACATATACATGTATCTGACAATCAACGCCAAGCCCACAAACTGCACTGTAGATTTCTCATCTATTCAGTTTTGATTATACCGTCGTCATGAGTGCATCAAATAACGGAATAAACACGAAACAAACAACCACCGTCAGCACCTCCCTCCCAACCTCAACCGCAAAAGCAGCCACAGCCACAGCCCACTCCATAACCAAACCCAAGCCCAACAGTGCATCGCAACCATGCTCATACAGCGAATTACATGTGCAACAACGGGATCGTATATATGTGATCACTTTCAATCGTCCGACCGTATGTAATGCGCTCACACGTCGCGGTTACTACGAGCTGATACGCGCACTCAACTATGCCACATTTGACGATGCAATTACAACAGTCGTGCTAACGGGCGCCGACGGTTGTTTCACATCGGGAAACGATCTAACACAATTGAGTCAATACACCTCACCGCACGCCTTCTTTCGCTCCTCCAACTATGTGCTGCGCTTTTTAATTAAATCATTCATCTTTTGTCCCAAAGTACTCGTCGCATTGGTGGACGGCCCATGTATTGGTATTGGTTTTGTTTTTGCAATGCTTTGTGATGTTGTCTACTGCACGGAACGCGCTTACTTTGAGACACCCTTTACGCGACTTGGTCTCTGTCCGGAGGGTTGTGCTACATATTTGTTGCCGCAGTTGTTGGGACGTGTTAAGGCCGCTGAGTTGTTATTATTTGGTACGCGTTTGAGCGCGGTGGAGGCGTTAAGATTTAATTTGGTGGCGCGTATAGTGCCACAGTCGGAGTTGGAGCGTCAATTGTGGCCGCAGTTGTTGGCGTATGCGCGCCTACCGGTTGAGTCACTGCGCGCGACGAAGCGTGTATTGGCTAAAATGGAGCGTGAGCAATTGTTGCACGCATTGAAGGCCGAGTGTCTGGAGTTGGAGCGGCTTCGTAAGGGCGAGACATATCAGCGTGCTATTCAGGCGTTCGTCGCACGTAAGGACCGAATGGGATCCGATGTAGAGAATAAAAGTAAATTGTAAAATAAACCATTTTTTAAGCGTAAAATTTCTGTGTGTTTTATTGCTGAGTTGGGAGAACATATGAAAAGCTATAAGCTTTCTACCAAAGAGGATATAAGAAAGAATCTGGTGAAAGGTCGTTTCATGAGTTGTTGTCATTGTTGCGGTTTGCTACACTGTTCGCTCTTGCCTGTAAAATTAAAAAGTTAAATAAAATTGAATAAAATAAAAAAGGTAAATTAAACAAAATGAGATTTAATAATGAAAATATAAAAAATTAATTAAATAAAAGTAAAATACTTTATTGTATTTTGTTTAATGAAACAAAAAAAAAAAACAAATTAAACCAAATTAAAAATTAATTTAAAAATAAAAATAAAAAACCACAAAAATTAAGCAAAATTAAAACTTTTTAAATTAAAATCAAAATGAAGCAAAATTAAATAAATAAAATAAAATAAAAGATTAAGAAACGAAATTATAAGTATAAATAATAAAAATAAAATGAAATAAAAAATTTTAAATTAAATAACTTAAAAAATTAAAATAAAAAGCTTTGATGAATTCTGATTAAACTTAAAAAAATCAAGCTAAAATAAAAAATACAAATAACAACAAACAAAATAAGACGAAATGGATAAAGGAAGAAAACTAAGCTAAAACAAAAAATTAAATAAAAAAATGAAGCAAGATTAAAATAAATGAATTAAAACTATAATTAAATTAAATAAGCTCTAACAATATAAATAAAAAAGTATGAATAAATTAAAAATATATGAATAAAACTTACATGAATTTTGAATAAATTAAAATAAAAATTAAGCCAAAGTAAAACTTAAAACTAAAAGAAAAATAAAAAACAAAAAATATAAGCTAAATTATAACTAATATGAATAGGAAAACAAAATAAAGTGATATACAAAAAATTAAATAAGAAAGATAACATAAAATGAAATAAATTTAAAATTATAAAAGATAAAAATTAAACGGATTAAAAAGAATTAAATGGATTCAAAAAAAAAAAAAAAAAACAAATCATAAATAAATTTTTATTAAATTGAAAAAGCTAAAATAAAAATGGAATAAAAAACAAAACAAATTTATGAATCATAATTAAAGAATATTATTAAAAAAAATTTAAAATTAAATGAGTTCTAATGACAAAACAAAGTTAAGAAGAATTTAATTAAAATAAAAAAAGCATATAATTGACACAAATAGTACACAGAATTTTAAATAAATTAACATGAAAAATTTAATTTTAAATAAATTAACAAGAAAAATTTAATAATAAAAAATTAAAATTAAAAATGCATTTAAATTACGATAAAAAAGATAAAATTTAAATAAAATAAAACAAAGTCAAATGAGTTATATATATATATATATATTCAAAAAAAAAATAGTAAAATAAATTTCCAAAAAAAAGTATTAAATATGTAGGTTGTTTTATTTTTTTGGACCATATAAAAATATATTATTTTAGAAAATGAAAAATTCGAATTAAAATATTAAAGAGAGTTGAAAAATAAAGAACAACTTAAATTACTTATATTTAAACTTAATAAAATAAAATAAATAGTAAAGCATAATAAAACTAATAAAATTTAAAATAAACTAAAATAAATAAAAGAAAAATAAAACAAAGCTATTTAAGCAAAATCAAGTGAATTAAAAATTATATTAAATAAAATTAATTTTAATTAATTTAAAAAATAATGTAAAATAAAATAAAATTCAAAAAAAAAAAAGAAAAGAAAAATCACTAAAAAAACATTATAAAATAACATAAAATAAAGTAAAATAAACTGAAATCGATTAAAAAATGTTTACTAATAATCTATAATGTTGAAGAAATAAATAAATTACAATGAATTAAAGAAAAATTTAAATTAAATAAAAAATGTATATATGAATGTTTATATATATATATTAAATTATAGGCAGTAGATTTAAATATGAGCAATTCAATCAATTTCTATAGCTAATACATATATTTATATTCACGTGTATGTAGGTATGTATGTATGTACATACACGTAGTATAGTCAGGAGAAATCAAAGTTTTTCTATTAACTGGAGAAAAAAATAAATGGCAAAAAGTAAAAAAAAAATGTAAAACATTCAAACCTCGAAAAACATTAAAGAAATAATAAAAAATAATATAATAAATAAAAAAAACTATGAAATTTATTTTTCTATTATATTATATGATTTTTCTTTTATTTATTTTACTTTATTTTTTTATTTTTTATTATGCTTTTCTCTTTATTTTGTTTGATTTAGCTTGTTTTAATATAAATAATTTAATTTTTATTTTATTTTTTAGTTCTCTTTAATTTAATACAATCTTCCAGTTTGTGCTATATTTCATTAACAATACCTTTTATTGTATAAATATAAGTATTTAGCTTGAGAGCCCTTTCATTATTAATATATTTTTTTTTTTTCAAAAAAAAACTTTCTTTTGTGCTAAAAAAAAAAATGCTCAGCCTTATATACGATATAAATGAGAAAAATACAATATGAATGAATAAAAAGTGAATTTAAATATAACTATGTATGTATGTACGAGAAAAATTAATATTCATAAGTCCAGACAATTTAATGTGGATATTATTTTTAAAACAATATTATAAGTGCATTAACTGTATATGTACATATGCACATGAGTATTTATGCAATGAAGGCGAGCGAGCTGCCTTAAATGAAATATTATTTTTAAATAAAATCGCATGCGATTTTTTTTTTTTTTTTTTTTTTGAAGAAAGTATAAAGCAGCATACATTTCTTAAATAGCTCTAATTATAAATGCATATATATGCGTATTAAAATGCTACTTAACAGCGGCTACTTAAATTAGCTAGAAAATACAAGCGTTTGATCGAAAAAAACCCTGTGCGGAGGTTAACGTATTTAAAAAGAATTATAATATTAAAAAACTTTCTTTTAATAACCCTTCTAGTTTTTAATAAACTTTGTATTCTGCTTCTTCGTTGTGGCTGTAGCGGCTAGCAAACACTGCTTAGGAGCAGACAGTTTAGGTCATCGAGGTGATCTAACAGGACCAGAAAACGGGCTGTTTCAATGGGTTTGGACCACAGGGAAGGGGATGCTAGATAGCTTGGTTATAGAGTGCTTAAAAAGTGTTGGTTATATGGAGACTAATTACATGCAGTATCTACAGTTGGGAATGTTCGGATCAAGCTTAGATATGTAGAAAATAAGTCATCTATTGTGCAATACAAAGGCTTAACTATGTCATTTTACACAGATCTCTCGTGGCACATCGAGTTCTTAGACTTCAATTGGTAGCGTTTAAATTCCGCAAACACCGTTCATGGAAAGAAAGTTTACAAAAGTTTGTTGGCGGACTCTCGGTGTATGCTCTGAAGTGTCAGAGGATAAATTTCAAAACCCTCTGAAGGTTGGCACAGCCAGATGGCAGTGGAATTAATTTTGTGCCGCCCAAACATAAAAGAAAGCTTAGGTTTAGATTGTTTTTACTTCTTCCGCTCCCTCTTTTTATTCGTCAAACAACTCTCAAAAAACATTCTCACTCTTAACCTCCTGATTTCAGGCGTCGCCCAGTCGTTTTTACTTATTAATTTTCCACTTTTAATTTCGTATGTATTGCCGTATACACTTCCGGTCAAGTTCAAGAACCCAAAATCGAAACCTGCTCCAGTTTAGCGTAAATTATAGCTCATGCGCGAAATGTGCGATAATAGCGCATGAATAACATTACAAGTGAATGCATTTTTTAATTGTTTTTCTTTTGTTTTTGTTTCTCATTTTTTGTTTTCTGCTTAATTTTCAGACGCTGCCCACTTGTACGTAAATACGTACAATACCGTTGAAAGCCAAGCCAAGTGAGTAAACAGCTCGTAGCAGCGGCGCTGTCGTTTGGCACAATCGCTTTGGCGGGCAATGCTTTTAATATTATATTATCTGTATCAAAAAGTCAATAAGCGATACAAAAGGCTAAAAAAAAAAAAACAAAAAAAAAAACAAAAAAAAAAAACAATAACCAAAAAAGTGATTTAAAGCGTTGCAATCGCGAGCAGCAACTTTAGTAACACAGCAGCAATAAGTGCGCGTTGAGCAACAACGGTAACGCGCTACATAATCTTAACGTAAATACTTTCACTGAAAATTCATCAGCAAATAACATATTTCCCTTTCCGCAACAACGACAATACCATGGAACGTTGGGTGGATAAAGTAGCTGTAGTCACGGGTGCCAGCTCTGGCATTGGCTGGGCTATCGCACAAGATCTCCTCAAATCGGGTATGATTGTGATTGGTTTGGCGCGTCGCTTACAACAAATGGAAGATCTCAAGGAGCAGTTAGACGAGTCCATACGTGAACGTTTCTATCCGCGTTCTTGTGACTTGACTGTTCTACCTTCGGTGAAGAGTAATTTTCATTGGGTCGAACAACGTTTTCATCGCCTACATGTACTAGTCAACAATGCTGGTATGGTGGAGATGACTAAAGTGCTAGAGGAGGGTAATGAGGCCATATTACAACGTGTGATTGATGTAAATCTCATGGGCACAGTGAATTGTACTAAACAAGCATATAGACTGATGCAGGCGACCATGGCGCTGGGGGAAGCATGCCATATAGTGACTGTGAATAGCTTGTTGGGTCATACGGTGCCGCAACATATACCCGAATGTGGTTTGAATTTGTATCCGGTAGCGAAGCATGCATTGTGTACACTCGATGAGGTGCTGAGGCGAGAGCTATTTCCGCACAAGCTGATGCGTTTGTCGGTGAGTTAGATCAGTGTAGATTTATTCTAATCTTTTTAATACTTTCATGTTATTATTTCTTCAATTTTTTCTTTTTATTTCTTCAATTTTCAATTTTTTCTTTTTATTTCTTCAATTTTCAATTTTTTTTTTAATTCTTCAATTTTCATACCGTTTTATATTAAAAATAAATATAAAATTTACCTTTTCCACAGTCAATAAGTCCCGGTCTAACACGCACAGATTTTGGAGGTGCACCATCTGAAGATGAAAAAAAGAAATGGGAGGAATTGATAGAGCCTGATGAAATATTATTACCCGAAGATGTTGCACGCGGTGTAAACTTTATACTCTCTTCTCCACCACATGTGACCATTGCGAATTTATTGATGGTGCCAGCACGTGAGAAGTATTGAAAGCACTTGAAAGAGATGGAAATCTGTTTTTTATGATACACAAATATTTAGTCTGACTAATTGATAAGATAACTAAAAATATAAAAAGATGAAAGTAAATTTAAACCAATTCTTTAATTATTTTTTAATCAAAAAATAATAATTTTGAAAAAAATTAAAATAATTTTGAAAAATTATATAAAAAATAATTTTGAAAAAAATAAAAATAATTTTGAAAAAATATATAAAAAATTATTTTAAAAAAATATATAAAGAATAGTTTTGAAAAAATATATAAAAATAAATTTTGAAAAAATATATAAAAATAAATTTTGAAAAAATATATAAAAAAAATAATTTTGAAAACATAAAAATACATAATTGTGAGAAAAAATAAAAACATTTTTGAAAAAATATAAAAGTAATTGAAAAAAAAATATAATAATAATATAAAAAAATATAATAATAATATAAAAAAATATAATAATAATATAAAAAAAATATAATAATTTAAAAAAAGTTAAAAATTTTTTTTAAATATATATATATATAAAGAAAATAAATAATTAAAAAAAAAAATTAGAAAAAAAAAATATTTTGAAAAAAGTAAAACCATTTTGAAAAAAATGCAATTAGTTGTGGAAAAAAAATTAAAAATAATTAAAAAAAATAAAAAATAATTTGAAATACATATAAATAAAAATAATTTTGAAAAAAAAATTAAAAAAAAAATAATTTGGAAAAAAATATTAAAAAATTAAAAATAATTTTGAAAAAACAATAATGAAATAAAAATATAAATAATATTGAAATAAAAAATTTAAATAATTTTGAAATAAAAAATAATAATTACAAAAAAAAATTCAAATAATTTTGAAAAAAATTATCTAATTTTAAAAAAGCTTTCCAAAAAAACATTTTGCAGAAATTAAAAATAATATTTTTGAAGAAATTAAGAATATTATTTTTGAAGAATTAAGAAAAATATTTTGGAAGAAATAAAAAAAATTAAAATAGTTAAAAAAAAATAAATAAAAAAAAATTTTGATGTTTTTTAGAAAAAAATCAAAATAAAAAATATACGGTAAGAAAAAAATTTGGAAAAATATTTTTGGAAATATCTTTTTTAATATTTGCGATGAAAGATCTTTCTCTGCATATAAAACTACCTCGCTGGAGGCATGTACATATGTATGTTCAACGAATTTCAAGAAGTAGTTTATTTAATCTTTCTTATACACCATGTTGTTGTTACTGTAGCGGCATTCTTTTTCCTTATACGCCATGCTGTCGGGCAGAGTACATTCAAATACTTTGCTTACGCATTTTCCTTTATTCACAAAAACCACAGCTACAAATTCCTTAAGCAAGTTTACGAAAGCAACAATAGCACGGCTGATGAGTTTAGTTTGAAGGTATTATAAGATATCATAAACGCTTATTACAAAAAAATTTTTATAAAAAAAAAATTATTAAGAATAAGCCAACAAATAATTTATAACATTTTTACAAAAACTTTTTTTATACAAAGACTACAAGTAAATTTCCTTAATATATCATTTGAATGGCTTCTCGGTCATGAGTAGTCCGCGTTCCCACAGCGCCGTGACCATTTGGATCTTCCGCTCATCATCTTGTAGTGGTAACTGCGACACACCAACGTACTCCGGGTATGAACGTATAAGTACCTCTACACTGGCCGCTTCGTCTGGTTCGATCTCAATGAAATTGGGGTCATATTCACAGTACTCCTTTGAGTTATCCAAATAGTAGTATATACGCACTTTCTCCTCCTCCTGCACTAGACGCATTATATTGGCACGCAACGGGCGTACATTGGTGCGTTCATCGATTTCATAATCACACATGCATTCACCTTTCTCATTGGTCCCGCTACGAGAACCGAATATGGTACGTGCACGTTCACTGGGCAGCACGTGTGGTGGTAGTGCTTCGTGTTGGTATTTTTTAGCAAGCTGATCTACAGCAGCATCCATGACTTCATGCAATTGTGCGCTATGCAGGCACAGACCCATCAATTTCGTTACTTTGCGTAAGAGATCAGCCCGCTCCTTGGTGTCATTATCACTAAAGGCAATGCCAGCATGTTGGAACGTGTGCAACGGTAAGCCGCGTCGCATATCAATATTGTTTTCAATGGCGCGCTGCAACACCAATGGCATAATGCGTTCAAAGAGATCAGCATAGCTTTGCTTCTGATAAACGCTCAATGTGATATGTAGCGAATGATAGCCTGGTTCAGTGGAGGCTTGATGTATGGTGCCACGTGGGAAGTAGAGCATATCACCTGGTCCCAGTACCTAAAATGAGTGCCGATTTTTAGGAAAAACTTCAAAAAGCTAAATATAAATTGCATACTTCATCAAAAATTGCTGTACCGATTTCCTTTTGACTGAAGTTCTTCGATGAGATTCGCGGCAATTGCTCAGCCTCGGTGCGTGGCTTGTAGAGACGCCAACGCTTGCGACCTTCAATTTGCAATACAAAAGCCTCTATGTCATCGTAGTGGGGTGCGAAACCTTGACTATTCGGGGGTGTGAGATATGCATTGGCACCCACCAGGCAGTGGAAATACTCCTGCAAGGTTGTGTTGAGCTTAAAGAGCTCTGGCAAAAACGTTTGTGGATTTAATAGACGTATACTGCAACCTTGGCCGTAATGATCCCAAACAACAGGTGGCATGGCACGTCCCACGGGATTGAGTGTTTCACGTTCACCTATGGAGGGGGCATTAAATGTAGTTATTAGTCAGTTTCGCATAATCATTTCATCTTACAACTTCTTACCATTTTTATATGAAGTTATATCTATATTTTTAGTGAACTCAACATGATTCTTGAGCAACATCTGATCAATAGCTTCAAAAGATATGAGATGCGAGTAATAATTTGAACCCTTGCGCTTAACCAAGCAAGCACCGGATTCCCAATACTTTTCAAAGAATTCCTTAATTGCTAACGGACTCAAGAGCCAATTGAATACTTTTTCACCTTCTTGTATACTATTCATTTTGACAACATTATTTGGCGGTGATAGTGGTTCCATTTTCACAAGTTTAGCGTCGACGGTTTTCACGTCGATTTTCGTGTTGGAGGACGTCGTCGCGGCGTCTCCACCATGTTCGGCTAACGAATTTCGGCGTTTATCTTTTTGCTTAGTGGCTGATTTGTCATTAGCTGCTGTTGCTGCGGTTGCAGGCAATGATTTACGCTTATCTGATGCCTTTTCCGCTATCCGTGCCTTTTTAGACTCAATCATATCATTAGCCTGCTTAGAAGTAATAGCATCATTATTTTTACGTTTCGAAGCTGCGTTGCTTTTCGTCGAAGTGGCTGCTGGTGCATTTTCTTCCTCTGTTTCTGCACCACTTTCCTCCCCTTCGTCCGATTCTTCATCATCGTAATCGCTATAACTATTTATAGTATACTCATCTGAAAACTCATCCGAGCCTGTGCTATAATCTTCCTCACTATCATACTCCGATTCTTCTTCTCCCTCCACATCCTCTTGTAGTACATCCTCATCCTCATCCTCATCATCTTTTTCCAGCTCTTTCACCAAATATTCCTCCAAATCTTGTTTCTTTTTTTGTTGTGCTTTAGTCAACTTTTTCGGTTTAGATGGTGAATCAGCCAACAATTGATCTACCAACTTATCAATTTCACTTTCATTAATGCCGTTAGTCTCTGCTTTACCGTTAGTAGCAGTATGCTGCACCTTATGTTTTTGCTTTACTGGCTCGGATTTTTTGGCTGCTTTGTTAGAAGCGCCTTTACTTTTTGTCCGTTCTGCTTTAGGTGCTAGCTGGTCTTTGGTTGCTTCTTTAGCCTTGACAGGCTTCACTTTTTCTTTATCTACATTTGGTTTTGTCTCAGTATGCTGTTTAGGTGTTGTTTTTGATTTATCCTTCAGTAAAGACTTGTTTTTGGAGTTGTTATTTTTGTTGACACCACCTTTATTAGTGCCACCAGTAGCACCACCGGCTTTCTTGTTGTTAGATTTTTTGTTCGATTTACTATTCTTAGAACTTGTTGACCGATATGCCGCAAATGCTGAGATCGGCTCCGACATTTTTAAAATGTACTTCGCTATATAAAAAACGAAAGACTTGAGTAAATATTTATTTAAAAATAAAAAACTGTGGAAATATTTTAGCAATCGACACTTTTAGCAATTGTTGCACGTGTATGTACAGTACGTACTAAAATTATGTCAAGCTGTTCGTTCAGAAAACAGGGTTGTTATGCATTTCAATAATTACACTGGTCTTGTGAGGAAAATATTGAAAAGCAAACCAGAATTAAAAATTACCAGTAGTGGAAATGGAGACGTGTAGTTTTAAATTGGACATCTTATTGAAATTCTAATTGGGTCTTCCGGTATCGCAGGAATGGTAAGGTTTTATAAATTTCGACGTTGAACAATTCAAAAGAACTATTAAAAAGGTAAATCGAAAACAAATAAGATTGTATGAAATATTTATTTACATATTAATTTTTATGACAATTTTAGTTAAAAGATTTCCTTGTAGCTGAAGTTTAGCGAACAATTAAAAAGGCATATTGTGCGAGTTTCATGAATAGATTTTATAATTATAAAAAAAAAAACAATTAATTAAACATTTTCAAAAAAAGGACAACCATTTTACAGACTTAATACATTATATTTTAACAACTTAACAACATGCAGGCCAGCGCATAGACTTTAAAAGTACGAAAAGACATAACCAAGAGTATTTCTGCATTCACACTGCCCTTTGGTTTTTGTTTTTTTCTTTTCAAATCAGTTAACATAATCGTTATCGCTATAGCTGTTTATTGTATACTCATCGCTGAACACATCCGAATGCTTACTGTAATTATGCCCTTCATCCGAGTCAGAAAATTCACTGCTTTCAGCTGAATCATCATCATCAGAGCCATCTTCATCAGAGCCATCGGAATCAGTATCATCATCACTGGCTGTCGTAGAGTTCTCATCGCTATCGGTTTCACTATCACTTTCGGAATCGGAATCAGTTTCTGAATCGCTATCGCTTTCAGTTTTCTCACTGTCGGCATCGGAGGAGTCAGTCTCATCACTTTCTTCATCATATTGCTCCAATTTTTTTACTAAAAATTCTTCCAAATCTCGTTTCTTTTGCTGTTGCGCTTTGGTTAACTTTTTGTTGCCGCACAACAACTCTTGCACCAGTGAATCGACATCCTTTTCCTTGATTTTTTTAGAATTAGGCAAATTATATTTGCATTTATTCTTATTTGGTACTGGCATTTTGGCTAATTAATTATTTGCTGTTTACTTCTATTGCAATCGTAGGCGATTAGGATCGAGGAGCTTGTGCGTAACGGAGTTTTATTTGATCAATTTGACATAAAGGGCGGTCGGCCAATTGGTTTGTGGTTTGTCGATTGATTGTCATCTAACATGGTTGCAATTTTAATAACTGTTTCTCACTTGATTTATGGAAATCTCATTTGAACAATTATAAACCTTCCAAGAGAACAGTAAATTAATACTTATATGTATTTATATTTTTCTATAGGCCTAGGTGAAACATAAGGCTTAATAAAGGTCACTTAAAATTTCGGGCTTTTGACACCTTCAACCTTTGAAGGTGTTTGTACACACTCAGACAGACAACCGCCCACTCTTTTTTTTACTTCTAGTAATCCTTTTGTCTAATTCTATTAATTCGTTTTCCAAATCTCTTGAAGAGAGCCACCTGATCTTTTCTTGATTAACTACACAGTTTCTTGCTCTCTGCTGAAACAAAATGATTGATTCTAGAACCCACAAAAGCAGCAAAAAATACATTACCGAATTTCATTTTGTACCCGTAGGCACTATTTTTTTTTATATAAAACTCACAAAGCTTTTACATTTTTTTAAATACATAAACATTTTTAAATTTAAACAAAAAATTAAACAAAAATATTGGTCACATTTTTTCTTCAACTTTTTCTAAACCATAATCATTAAAAGTCTCTTCCTCAGTAGCGTCAAGTCCCGCTCGTCAATATTAGTAACAACCACCGGAAGAACAGCTATCTGTAGAGTCATAAGAATCAGAATCAGTGTAAGAATCTTCACAACAATAAGAACAATCACAATAACTGTCGTCACGTCGGCGTGTAGTTGTTGATTTCCGCGCAGCGGTTTTTGTCTTGGAGCCTGTTGTTGACTTCCTTGTTGTATTTGTCGATTTCCTTGTTGTCGTCGATTTAGCCTTTGTTGTTGTCGACTTTGGTTTGGTCGTCGTCTTCTTGGCTGTAGTTTTCTTCGCGCCAGTCGTTTTTGCTCCTGATGAAGTTGATTTTGGCTTAGATTTGGTGGTAGTAGATTTTTTTGGTCTCGAAATAGTACACGAGCCTCCCGAGCATGTAGGAACGGGCATATTAATAAGTAACAAAAATTATATATATATTTGCACAAAACTAAAAGTAATAGTGCACGTTACTGTTGATGCATCGAGACTGTTTCGTGTAGGAAGTGCAAGTATTGTTTCTATCAGCAAATTAACGGGGTTTTTCTAGTTTTAAATTGCAATGGGAATAATTGTTATTTTAACGGCGTTAAAATGTTTGAAAGGCGACGCCACTTATCGCCGCAAACAGCTGTTGCTGTGCGTACAGTACGCATGAAAAATGCCACAGCTGATTTTGACTGTTGGAAATTTATTTGCGGCATAATTGCACAATTTCTAGTTATCAATAGAATTTTTTAATACTTTTTAATCGAAATTACTTTAAAATGCGTCTCACTGAGGTGTTATTTAAGAAAGTGAAAAGCAAGTAAGTTATTTGTTTTATTTCTCACCGATTCATCTTTGCTAAGTAATTTTTTTTTTGGTTGCCACAGGCGGATCATGGTGCTAATGGAGAGCGCTGTTAGTGGTCATCAGTTTAATATGTTCCGCGAACGTTTGGCTGACAAATTGGAACTGATACGTTTCGATCCATACAGTAAGTTTGTCATTATTTTATGAATTTTCAAATTTTAATGCCATTTATTTTGCAGTACAAAAGGAGTGCATATATCGTGAACGTAAAAGGATACGCAGCGCTTAGGTGCTTTTTGGTTAATGTGTTTCAATTTAGAATTCATTATAAATAATTGCTGTTTTTGTTTTTATTTAGTAAAATACATAAATACGGCTCTTAAACTGTAACCACAAAGCTCTAGATATTATATGAAACTAATTAATGGGAAGCAGTGAATAACCTTTAATTGGCATCTTAAGTCTGCTGAAATTGAAAAGTGAATTTCAAGACTTCAAGTTGAATTGATTTTGAATCGAAAAATTGGTGTACTCGGTTGCTATGATGAAGAATATAAACCGTTTAGGTAACTATTAAACTTAAAATATTTGCTTCAATTAAGTTTATTTTTATTTTAGCCATTTGTTAGAAATCTCTTAGAAAAATAGCGCTAATTAGATTTTCATTAAGGCTGCTTCTCTTCTCGTTGGTCTTAATAAGCAGTTAATCCATACCAAATCTTATTTGTGAGGTATAGGTTGTAACTTAATTAGTGTGATTTGCGCAAGTACCTAGAAAAATACATATGCACATTAAGACACATGAGTACTTTCGTATAGTTAGTCGTCACATTGATTAACATATATATCCGGTCTAGTCATTATCAGCAGAACTATCCAAGCAACTTTGTCCGTACACCTCATTAACGAAGCCATTTAAATGCAGTATAATTGTCGTCCATGGCAGTCAAGTTCAAGCAGCGGAAATTGCTGATGGCTAATGACAAATAATGTGTTATGTTGAATGCAGTTAGACTGATATGCGCACTTTCAAATACGCGCATTGCTTGTGTGATCTTTGTTGGTGCGCTCAAATGCGGGTGGGCAAAGGTTTCAAGGTTGCAAAGCGGTCAACACTGCAAACAGATGCATTTTATTTACAAAAAATATACAATACGTACATATGTATGAGTACGTACTTCTCTGACGACGCGCATTTCCGCGTTTCGCAAGGCCTACGAAAGCTCCAATAAATGGAATTGTAAGCAAAATTGTGCGCATTTACACATACACACATTCAACAGTACACACGTGCAGCACAAACGTCAACTAGCATTCGTATAATTATACTATATGCTGCTGCGCCTCCTTACTTCAGCTGCTATTGTTCGCATTAAATTGTCATTGTCAGACTGCGCTTCATTGCGTGCCCTACCCGCCCAGTCCTTCTAACATGCCTTTACAGCTGCTAGTGCTGCGGTCGGAAAATTCTTGTTATCCATGTGTATTTCCTCTTCCTTTGTCTTTTCCTGTTCTCTTGTTTTTCTTCGTATTTTGGCATTCTGCTGGCGCTAAGTTTGTTGTCGGTGGCGTCATCAATAAAACAACGAATATGCATCGGCCATTGTGCCGTTGTATGTTGGTTGTATGCAGGCGTGTGCAGCAGTTGTGGCCGCATGATAAAATTGATAGTTGAAATGGCGGTTAAACTGCTACTACTAAAGCGGTTGACGACGAGATGTGCAGGGTGAAATAAAAATGGTTTTCGGAAGAGAGTATATGGTAGGCGTTAATGAAACTTTCGACAGGAAATACTGGTTTGTGTGTAAGTAAAGTGAAGCGTAACGCGTATACGTAAATCATGGCATACTTTTAGGCGCAGATTGAAATGTGAGTAGGCGTACGGAAAATAAAAGAGTTAAGAAAAAATGCTGATTAAATATTTAAGATCAAGTGGAAACAACTTTTACGAATGACCTCCGAGGTGATGCCAGCTTTTACTTCCCTGGACTCTCTTGTGGTGAATTCCCAAATAGTTGCTTTTATGTTTTTGTTGTTGTTGATGTTGTTGTTGTAACCGCAAAGTTATTCCCCAAAGTACTTTTTGGGGAGTGTTGCGGGAGTGACAGTCTTTGGCCGGATAAAAGTCCGGGTCGTTCCGGTATAAAGACCCGACTGTCGCGGGAACTATTGGATTTTAGTCGCCTCTTACGACAGGCATGCCTTCCCGCGGGTAAATTCTTGAGCCCATAACCCGTAGGGGTTTATGTTTTTGTAACTAGGCAGTCCTTGGCCGGATACAAATCTGACCGTCGCTGACTTATTGAACCCCTATCCCGAAAGGGAGGTAAGCTTATTATCACTACCGTAATGTCGAAATACTTTTAAATGCAAATCATCTAAGTACCTGGGGAGTGTACGGGCACATCGCTAGATTTTATTTTGAACTTTACTGTTTTAACAATGCAATAAAAAGTGTATTTGCGTTCCTTTATGTGCCTTCAAAAGGGATACACGCTTCACGTCTTAGGTATAATTTTCTTAGGATGAGCTCCTCCAGCCTGTCCATTCGATTCTTAGATATCAAAGTTGCCTCAACCTCCAAAGGAAACGTTTTAAAAAAAAACTTTATTTTGGCATTCAGAAGTGGAATGTGCATGAGCTTATTCGCCTCTTTATTGGTCATAACCTGACTTTATTCCCCACAACATCCCATTTGACCATTATTTTAGTGATTGCTGCATTTAAGATAACTCATTTCGCTTATTGAACGAACGATGATGATAGGTCTCGATTCATATATACACCGACAGTTGCTCTAGGCGCACTACCGTACCATCTACCGCTCATATCAGAGAGGGTGAAGTAATCTTTTGACAAACGACATTTCGACAGGCCTCACAGACAGTCCATTAAGATTTTACCGTGCTCTCCTCCAGTGAACATAGTAATGGCGGCCTAACCTCCATTGGTTTTAGACGAAAGTCGTAAAGTGTATAGCATAATCGCACTGGAACTGAGGACTGGATACTGCTTTAGGTTAATATCCTTCCTATTCGACATGAAATGAGTTCTCGGACGACACTAATCACCTTCTTTCATGCTCCCCTAAGTCAATTTATCTAACACTCCTCTTGCTCCAATCGTTTGAGGGAAGGAAGAAAGGGAAAGAAGAGAAGAAGAAATGTGATGAGTATAGTTAATCAAGAATCCACAATCAAGTAGTATTTCGATTTCTGGGTGTGTGTTTCAATTGAGTCAAGTGCTCGTCGTCTATAATGCCTCCCAACCCAATTACTTCCGTAAGCTGTACTGACCTCTTACACTGCCAAAATTTATAAGCTGTGTAATCAAAGAGCCCTCAGCAGGCACTAGTTGTAATAATTGTATTGTATATTCTTCTTATATGAAAGGGAGAGAGAGAGAGAGAGAGAGATAGAGAGAAAACATGAATGTGTCTATTACCATTATCTAGGAAGTGTAAACACTAACCTACCATCACATAATTCGCCAGACTCCATATGTCTCATTTCACAACAATAAAAGAAAATGGCAAAATAATCATTCGTTAAGTTTTACTACTCCAACAAACAGCTGAAGAGCTTCCTAGAGCATAAGCGAGCATCGTAATAAACGTTGAGGATATAAAAGAGTTAACGAGTTGAGTAGAGAGCAAAGCTCAAGGGTTAAGTTGTAAATACAGAGAGAGGGAGCGAAAGTTTTATTAAAAATTAAAAAAAAAAGAAGTTAAAATTGTAAAAGCTTTCAAGGATGCACAGTACCATGAGTAACTGGAAGGTGAAATTAGAGAAAAGGTTAGAAGTTAAGGTGAATATTATATACATACATACGTATGTAAATAAATCTACTGAAAGTATTAATAGAAAAAACAACAATAAAAATAATAACAAATTCTTCACATAAAGCCATGAAAGCTTTAGCAAGAAAAATAAAAATCTCATTGAAAATCGCTCAACCGTAGCGTTGTTAGTGGAAGTTTCAAGTTAACGTTGTTGGCGGGATACTTATTGTACTCATTTCACATCACAAGTTAACATTCATAAAATATGTTGACTGGGCCTCGAAGCTTTTAATTTTATTTTGAATGTTTGTTGCTTAATTTGCGGAATAACGGATAATGTATGAAGTAATTTCGTCAAGTGGAATTATGTGTGTGAAATGAGCGGAAGGGAGCTTTCGTGTAGTTGAAAAATATTAGGAAAGCCTTTGCTTACGTGAAAGCTTGGAAGCTTACTTTGATTTAGCTTTTCACACTTCTACTGTGCTTTTGTTACAGTTGTTTTGCAGCTTTTGTAAAGTTTTCACATAATTATTATAGCTTTTTTATATGAAAGTTTGAAAACTTGTGAAAGCTTAAAAACCTCCTGGAATTCATCTGCTTTATTTATACACAGATTTTCTATATAAAACATTTCAAGCGTTATCAAAAAATTAATATAATTTTTAAAGCTAGTGCTTGATTCAGTTTCTCACCAGCTCCATTTTTCGCCGATTCCTCTAAAGCTTTTACGCTTGCATGAAAGCAGTGCGCCTTACGACAAAAGCTTTGCTAAGCATTTTAACACAATCGCTTGGCTCAAAAGTAAGTTTCTCTAAAATGCGGGTGCTTATGTGATAATCTCTATCTTTTTAGTGTGACAGCTGCTGCTTAACATTGCATACTTTTAGGTTACGACTATGTAAATCTTTGTTGTATAACTATAACATTGTGTTGTTGTTGATTAACAACCTTATTTTGTGATTTTTTTTCATTCTATTCTTCCTTTACCACCTTACGTAAACACACACCTGCGCCAAAAGTGTGCGCTGGTACTTCAAATAAGATTAACTTGCGCCGGAATGTATGCTTTTGTAACGGCGATGTGAGCACGTGTATGGTGTGGAAGTGTTTAAGTGTTTTATATATATTTTTTTTTATATTTTATGTTAGGGAAAGAATAGATTTGCTAATCGGAAATGGATAATCAGCTTCGACATTCCTTTGGAATTATTGTTGGGGTCTTCCCTCCACTGTCGTTCAAGAAGGAGGGAGCCTAAATTGTACGAGGCAAATATTTGGATTTATCAAGTCAATCTACCCACTTTTCTGTGGAAGACCTTACCTACTAACAAATAGTCAGCTGAGAGCCAAAGAGAAAGCGTTAAGTCTTAGACAAACTCCGTGAGGAAAGGATCATTTCTTCGATTATGTATCATACAAAGATCAAGCTCTATAACTGATTTGCCATTTTCGTCGTGTGATATGGTGCAGAAGCACATAGAGCCGTTTTGCAAATAAAAGATTTCGAAGACTAATAATTTCTAAAATCAATAATTTAGAAAACCATTAAGTTCGGATTCCACTAATTTTGAAAATAAAAACATCGAAACAAAATAGTTTCGGGAAAAACAGATTTCGAAAACAAAAAATTTCGAAAACGAAAAATTTCGAAAACAAATATTTCGAAAGTAAAAAATTTCGAAAATAAAAATTTCGAAAGTAAAAAATCTCGAAAATAAAGCTTTCGAAACGAGAAAACAATAGTAAATAAAAAATTTCGAATATAAAAAGTTTTGAAAACAAAAA